TGTACTTGTTTTAGAACCTGTTTTCCACTTAGGATATTTGAGGCACATTTTTTTGTGACATTAAGCAGTTTTATGTCTGTTTTACATGTTGCATCTTATGCCTTTTTATGAATATGTTAGTTTGTTTTATCAGTTCCTTTTTTAGATATTATGCAGTTTTTACTTCTTAGGTATTAGAAAACCATGCTTCAGCAACCATCCCTAAACAAAAATATTTGCACTAAAATGCATGGTGATTTGAATTGCTTTTTAACATTTTTTTCACATTTGTTTCTAAAATATGCATATAATATTGATTCTAGATAGACATCATTGAGTTCAAATGAGAGTTCAAATACAAGTAGTTTGGGAAGAGAAAAATGGCTAAGAGGAAGAAATGTAAAGAGGAATTTTCCTGAATGAAGTAGCCTCCCTATCTCCTAAATGTGGGTTACCTTAACATACTAGCCCTATCTGGATCCTGGCGATATTCATACAAAGGGTCTTCAAAAAGTTTGTGGAAAATGCATATAATGAAAAAACTATTCATAGATTTCTCCCTTCTTTCCAATGAAAATAAACTTGTATTTTAATTCCATTTTTTCCAGGAATTTTTTTCTTTATCCATAATACCACATGTATATATACATGCGAGACAGAGAAAGAGAGGAGCTCCCACTACAGAATCCCGTCATACCACCCCCCTCTTCCTCCAGTCCTATAGCGATTCACATGTTGGGCACTCATGCATGTGCTTTGCATGTTTCGGGCTGACCAAGCTGGGGGTTTGAACCAGGCTACATGAGATCCAGCTTCTCTTGACCAGTACATTACCGCTGTGTCATGAAGCCAGCCTTACGCAAGCTTGTTGAAGTTCCCTTGTGTTCAAAGAGCAAAGGAAAAGTATAGAATGATTCATACTTATGTTTGTCCTGTTTTATTGTATTCTTTAAACTGTTTAAATATTAAGATTTTTAAGTGTTAGTCTCTCAGCATGCAAAAATGAGTTCTTTGACAGTAGGGCTCTTGTTTGACAGGTCAGCACCAGTAAAGGACACATGGGAAATACGCCACAGATAAGAAGTAATTTCTAAAAAGATCAAAATTTGTTCTGACAACAAAGGATTTATCCTTTCAGATGAAACTTTCTATTAAACCTGTTTTGAAGTGTACATGAAAATAGAAGTGTCCCAACTCCCCATGTCAGCAGTTACCAAGTTGTTTTCACAGTTGTTTCATCTGTTGTTTTCTTCCGCAGTGTGTTAAGGCAGAATCCCAGATCTCTTGTCATATTATGCCTACATACTTCCCTATGCACCCCTTTTAAAATACAGATGCTTCGTATATAATCACTATCTCACTGTTATGCTTTATAAAATTTACAAGTATTGCTTAGTTTTGTCTCATATCCTGTCCATTTTCACAGTTCCCCAGTAGTCTTGAAAGTGCCTTGTTCTGGTGCTTCGTGACACAAACATGCATTCATTTTATTCACAAAGCGGTCTGGTTTCCTAAAACAATACAGACAGCATGTTCATCA